CACACACACACACAGATCTATATATATATATATATATTATATATATACACACACAAACAAATAGCCAAGTAGGCTGCAGCGTGGTTGGCACTCCCAAGCTACGGCGACACCGTCCATGATCAGTGCAATTTTATCCCTCAAGGTATGGCTATGCCGTCCATGAGCGGCATCCCTCGGCCTGCATCCCAATGGGCGGTCTTTTCATATCAATTGCGAAACGTTTGGCCTCAAAAAGCCTAGAAAACTTGTCGCCTGAAGTGTCGTGCCCCATTGAATGTCTGCCTTCTGTTGCAACAGGACCTTTCTTTTTTCTACCGCCGGTCATGGGCAATGGGCGGTGCGATCGCTGGAATCTAAGGATGTCCAGGTAGCTGTTGGGACTCAAGGCTTCAACTTAACAGCCCTCGACCCGAAACCTTCTTCTGAGCCTTGTATATAAAGCCAATCTGATTTGAAACCCGAAACCGTTGTAAATCCAATACGCCGTAGAAGTCCGAATGTTGGGCCTAAATCCCTAAAGCTATTATAAGCCCTTAAGCAACCCAAAGCCACCCCCCCCCAAATCTAAAGCCGTCAATGATGCCTGGTCCCTGATGCCGCAAATTCCAGTTGAGGTGCTCATAGGACTCAGGCGTTGCCGGGCAATGTGCAACCCCAGGAAGTTAACAGCTGTAGTGGTGTCTACCATACCTCAGGAGGCTTAGCGAGTCAGTCGGCGCCTGTGATTTCTGTTAAAGGTGTCGAGCATTCAGGGTTTCTTCTGAAACGTCCGACAAAGCTCTGCAACTCAATTCGTGCAGGCTCGGGAAGGGAAGGCTTTTTTGGAGCCTGCGTGCAAGATTGAACTTCGCAGGCTTTTTCAGGGGCAGACTGGTTGATGCACCAGTGAGCGTGACATCCTCCTGTTCATGGCCCAAACATACAAGCAACACTACTGAGCCTTAACATGTCCACGGCTCAGTCTTATAAGAGCCTGAAGCCTGAGGAAGCTCATTGTCGCAGCCGCTAAACTACAAATCACTTCGGTTTGAACACCGCCGGTTCCCTGGCACATGACATCGCGATAGAATTGAGGACTAGGTCGGGATCTGGAGTGATATCTGTCCGAAAAGAGTGAGAACCCTAAACCCTAGACGCTGAGCAGAAGCCTGTTGCTCCGAGCTGCTGTGGCTTTCAAAGGTCTCAACTCGGCGTTTCCTTCAAAACCCGGTGAGGCCCTGTCCAATATCTCTTGGCACAACTGACGCCATGCACATACACGGTTACTATCAGGGGTACTATAAGGGTCGCGAGGAGGCTTATTTTGTCTGGTTTCAGTTGGGTGCATTACAGAGCCCCCGCTGCTAGGCCTGGTAACATTCACGAAAGTCACCAAAATTTCCGCGAGAGCGTGCCAAAGGACCGAGAAATACCCGGAGGAGTGAGATGGGGCCGGGCAAGTTCACCAACCTGGGCCATGTTACCCGGATTCAGGTCTTAGGGATTTAGCTTTGGGGCCTCTTGGGTGGGGTTCGGGGCTTCGGCTCCGGGTTGTTGGGGGGGGGGGGGGGGTTGGTTTCGGGCTTAGGCTTTGGGTAGTTCTCTGAGGTTTGGGGGCTGCAGCTTCAGAGCGATGGTGGCCTCCCTGAAGTTAAACGCGAATTCTGCACGGGCAAAGCGAAGACAATTATTACAGGACTTCCAACACTTTTCTGAGACATGGGGAAAGAAGACTAGTTGTTGGTTCACCAGGAGAAGGCTGCGGGAGTGTCTTGGCAAAGGTCACCATGACAGATCCTGCTCCGATAATGTAATAAGTAATAAGTGCGTTTCATGCACCCCTAAACCCGCCGGTAAGCCCTAAACCGCAGTTGTTGTTCCTTGCGCGGTGCCCTGGGAGGTGGTTTGCACCACCCCCTGATCAAAGGCCTGTGGGCCTTGAGGATTAGAAGAATGTTTTGGGCTACGGCTACATGCTGGCATCATCACATGAAAAAAGAAAAATCGAAGGAATGATCCTGTTAACCCTAAACCCCTAAGCCTAAACCCTACACCCAACAATAGAACTGCTAACTGCTTATAGGTCTCTATATTACAGAACTTCCCGAATTTCGGCCATCTCCCTCTGAAGCTTGCTGTAGTGCCTTTCGGAGGGCAGGTTTTCAGATGGTTTACGCTCCCGCAACACAGACTCTGACAGACGAGGTCTCGGTACGCACCAACAGAACCCAGCGCTGGAAGATGGCGAGTTGTGGGTCTGATCTAGAGCTTTCGGCGCTCACGCTCGGACAACCAAGGCTGGTGGAGTCGGCTGTGAACCAAAAGCACCGACGACTGGGGTAGGATCAAAGTACACGCCCATCTACAGCAAACCTATAAAGACATGGTGATCCCTCCCACCCTGAAATCCCACAGTTCAACGTCATAACCTAGCTGGGGACTTCAAGCCACTACGCGACTACACATGATCAGGCTGGGGACGTGGGGTGAGGGGTTTGAACTCCGGACGAAGCTGTTCGGGTCCTCGTGAAGACATAGGGTTTTCGAAATTTAGGTTTGGGCTTCTGTCCTCCCTGAACTGCGGGACTAGCCGCGCACCCTCAAGCCAGAATCCCTCAGGCACTGATCAAATCAACACCTGCACCTTCAAGTCACTTGGAAGAAAAGCCTGAGCCAATTGGGGCCTCGGAGCAACGGTATCCCCAGCTTCTGGGCAACGGCGCAGCCCGCCAGGGTGGCGAAATCCGTCATAACCTCGGTGTTGATTGATTCTGTCGGTTTTGTGCATAAATCGCTTGGAATACCCAAACTTGTACAACCTCCTACGGAAGACAGAAAAAGCAGCATGTGCCCTGGAAGTTGTTCAAGATTTGTGCGGGACATGCAAGCCCCAAAATTACCCCTAAGAGTTCGAAGTACCTGATAATCACAATATACTCTCCCAAATACCTAGCTACAAGACTACTATCCTAAACCTGCCCAACTGTGGGATCCTCTTGGGCCCCTTAGGGTTGGAATTCAACTCAAGAGGAAGTCTTTCTCAAAGATGTGTGCGACCCAGGCAGGTAAATGCCGGGTCTGGGAGAGGAAACCACAGGTGACAGCAGAGTCGGGTACTGTAGGGCGTTGGGGTGTATAGGGTTTAGCTGTTAGGGTTCAGGCGCAAGGATTCACAGGTTAGCAAAAGGGTCAGCAAAAGGATTGCTATACCGGAAAGCTATCAGACGATAAGAGATCTGTAAGGGTTCTAGGATTCTGACCGGAAAAAGCTCAAGTGTGCGTACATCCCACCTTTACACTCTACACTCTCGGTGTGGCCTGCTAGCAAAACCGTCCTCTCGCATCCCCATACCAATATCGACATGGTGAAATGACACCCCGTATGTCCAGCCTGCAACCGTTCGAAGGCCCCCAGAAGCGGTAAAGCCATTCTCTGCGGCATCCAAATTTTCGATTTTTGCTCGGGATTTAGAGCAAAGCAGAAAAGGAACCCAAGGATAAACCGTAAACTCAACTTCCATCTGGGAACTACATCAGGTCTGTCCAACAGAAGCTCTTTCTCCAATGGAGAGGTCATCAACTCTTGCAGCAGCAGGAACATAATCCTCTTTTGCTCCTCACAGGGGCCCCTAAACGGACAGAAACCCTTGGAACCATGGGCAAATGCAAACCACTGAGGTTGTTTGCTAAAGCTTTACTTAGCGGGTCAGGGTCTAGAGGCATAAGGCGGAATAGGGCTAAAGGGTGCAGAGGTTAGGACATTCAAGCAGCATGAGGTTCGGTTTCGGCTCTCAAGACAATCCAGCACAGAAGACGACACAGCTGTTATTCGACTGCTACTCAGCCGCGTGCGACAGCAAACCGGGTTCCGTTCGGTTTAGGGTTCGGGCGATTGGGGGCTTAGTTGAGGGCTCTGCACTCTCTCCATGCATTCCATACCGTGAAAGCCAAACCTTAAGCCTAAGCCCTAACTCCGTACACAAAGACTCCACACCTTGACTCAGAAGTCCCGCCACTGCCGGTCAAAGCTCCCGAAATGGGCAAGATCCGCTTAGGGTAGAGAGCCGTCTGCACTGGGAGGGCTTAAGTAGGGCGTTTAAATGGCTTGAGTTAGGCGTTTAGGCGTTTAGGGAGCCCTTTCAAGCATTCTCGACGCGGCTCCCTGGCTTTTTTCTCAAGCGAGTCGGCATCGGCGCCACCCATGTCCAAGCCCACTATGCTCGCACCAGTCTGCGCGACCTTCTTCTCGAACTCGGCCACCTTAATTCAGAAGGGTCTGCTAAGAGACTTCCCGAGATGATTACTGGATGTTGCAAGTTTATGGCTTTGGTTTGGAATCGGGCTTAGGGTTTCGGTTTGGTTAGGGGCTTAAGTTTCGGAGTGAGGGCTCTATAGGGTTCCTTTAAAGTTTTCTGGCATTCAAGAGGGCCCTGGGGCACAGGAGGCTGCATCTTGCACTTTGTGTGCAACTAGCGGGAGAGAAAGAGAAGCTAGGAACTCCACGATCTGCTCTTGCATATCACGTGTCAGTGCAGGGTGCTTCCCTGTCTATGAAACAATACCCTAATTCTGCTACTTCACCTAAACCCTAAACGCCCTAAGCCCTAAGCCTCAAGATTGCGCCCAGTCTTCTTTCAACTCGAGAGGCTCATGCTCAAAGCCTGAGCTGCTTGCAAGGTTTTTAAAGACCACGAAACTTCAATGAAGGCGGTGTTCGCCAAGTCGCTTTGAAACAGAAGCGTTGAAATGGCCACAGCAGAGCTAAGAAGAACACCAACTCCTGATTAGGACAAACGTTGCGAGGAAAACAATTTGCTGAGCTGCGGCTGCCTTCAAATTCGTGCTCAAAAAAGATGGATTGAGGTCGGCCCTCCCTGCTGCATGGTCTGGCAGCCGTTTGCATGCAAACCCAAGCTGCGGTGTTCTGACTCAGGCGGCTCCACTCCAAGCAGCCTGCCGACGAATTATGCCTCAAGCTTAAGCTCAGAGACTTCCAAAACTCTCACAGAGGAAGGCGGTGTTCGCCGAGTCGTTTTGAAACAGTATAGCGTTGAAATGCCCGCAGCCCGGCGGATCGCATTGGCTTGATGTGCCCGAAGGCAGCCTGGTGCGGTGCAACTAGAGCCAATAACATAATATGATGTCATATGATATAATACAACATATATTTCAAGCGTGCAAAACACCATCTGGCAGGCCGCCTGGTACAAAGATGCACAGTTCGATCTGCTGAGTAGCGGCTGCCTTCAAATATGAGTTAAAAAAACTTTCGATGCCCGGTTTCTGGACTGCTTGCCTGCCGACTTCTTCTCCAGTCTATCTGCCACGGGCCCAGAACATCCAAAGCCCTAAGCCCTACGCCTTAAGTATCCTAAACCCTAAACCCGAAACCCTCACAGAAGGCTCAACCTCCGGCTACAAGTCGCAGCCCAGCCTCGGTACAGCTAATTGGCAGTTAAAGCCTCGATGCATTCAACATATAGGGTTCTGGTAACAAATACCTATAAGGGGCACTTTAGGGGTTCATGTATGGGCCTTCATGATTAGAATAAGGAACCGGAACAATCATCGCGGAACAGTAATGCAACTTACTCAGGCTTCTATATTAATTCACCGCGGACGGACTTCCGCTCACCACAGATGTACCGTTCACATCATACGGGGTCACAGACATGGCCTCTCCTTCCTCCGTGCGCTCCTGCACGAGCTCGTTCCTGCAGTGGGCAAAGACTAGATCCGAGGACTGGAAAAGAGAACTGGTCAGGGCTTAGGCTTTCGGGTTGCCATCGTAGTAGTCGCAAGCTTTTTGGCTCAATGGCTCGAAGATTCGAGTTGCAAGAGCCCCAAACAGGGACCTCACTCTTCAAGAACCAGAACCGATCGAATTTCGGACCAAGGGGCGCAGTCGCTTCGTTCACAGGCAGCTCCTCTGAGAGTTCGGCGAGCTCCTTAGAGATGTCGGTTTCCTTCGCGGTGCCGACGTCCTGTTCGTGACCATCAATCTTGCTTTCATCGCCTGGTTCCAGGAACTCGGTAAAAGAGAACCGGGACTTATCACAAAAGGAAAACAAGGACAAAGCCCTCCTTGCTTCAACAACTGTGAAACTCTCGCCCAGCTGCGCTTCTCGGAATGCATGGCTGAGGGTTCCTTGGTTCCACCGGAGGTCCCTGGAGGACGAACCTGGAGTTTGATGGCCATGTCCACCATGAGCCTGTCCATCTCCTGGCGGGATGCTTTGCCATAAATCGCGTGCCAGCTCACATGGTGCTAACAAACACGTTTCATGCCTCAGATCTCACAAGATCAGAGTCCTCGAACTTGGCTTGCGTCATTCGCGTCAATTTGCCGACAGCGCTGTCATCCACCGCCTCCTCGAGGGATGGCCACGGAAGTGCTGGATTCGCAAGGCCACCATAGCGCTGAACGCGATCCAGCTCCACCTTTGGATACTGCCAGTAGTCGTACGGGTCCTCAGTAGTGGGCACTGCACCACGGGGGCCATTGTCACCCTCATCGAGCTCACAAGCCTCTTCCAAGTGCAAGGACTCCACAAAGGCTGTCCAACGTTTCTTGGAAATCAGGGGCATGGAGGTCTCATAGATGTTGATTCCACGCGTCAGGCGAGCATTGCCCCGTGCGTCGTGGTAGATGTCGTTGTAGCGCTGGCAAAGCTGTGCGACCATGAGGTTCATGAGGTACACGTGCCAGCATGCGGCGAAGGCCATGACAATCCACTTCAGCATCGGCTCATCTGCAACTGAGATCTGCTCGTAGTTGTCACTGCCATAGACATTGAAGGCCGAGGATAGCAGAGACTCAAAAGCGAGGGGCCAGCTGAAGAAGTCCCGCATCTGAATCGAGTCAGTGCCTAAAGACGGAGGTAGGCAAGCAACCGCCGACGCAAACGCTGCTGTGAAGAATGCCAAAACTGCCACGTAGAGGATGAATTCCCACATCAGGCATGAGCAGATCACGCTGAAGACGGAGAGGCTGACATTCAAGTGCACCAACTCGGAGGCAAGCACAAAGTAGAGCATCATGGGAAAGGCGGCGAGGCGGTTGTACGTGCGGATGAGATGACACTGCCATTCGCCGTACTCGCAGCAGTTTGTCAACAACTCGCTGCTGACGGCAAGGCAATGGAGCACGGGCTCGCAGCAGAGCCTTGAAAAATTGGCATGCTTAGCACTCACACGTCTGGGTTCTAGATACCATATCAAGCAAATCATTCGGTGCGACAGCAACTGGGCTCTTGTTGAGGAACTGATAGGGGTCTATGGCAAACCACTAATATGGTTTCCTTCTTATGGTAACTTGGAAATACTTCCGATGACGAGACCCAAACAAACGGCGACCTGCGGCGCAAGATGGAGGGTTTGTTCAAGTCCTAAGGCTCCCCACGAACCACTCAGAAATGCCAGCCTGTATGCCCAGAAAGTTCAGACGAGAGCAGCCAAGCAGCAAACACATCAGGAGAAGTGTGAGTAGAACTTCGGTCAACTCTTGGCGCGTTTGCAGCACGTACGGCGTGTCATCTGCTTCTGTCGAACTGCCCTGTATGTCTGGTAGGCATGCTTGGCGAAGAGCTGCCCCAGGCTGCCAATGTACAAGAACGCCCGGCAGACAATGGTGGTGAACCGCTCCTGACTCAAGGGATCGCTTGAAGTCACAGCTTGCTGCTCTGCCATGACGTAGACCACGAGGGTGACACAGAACCACAGCTTTGTCAAAGCCCATGGCAAGCAACAAAGCCGAGTCCAGAGAAGATCTGCCTGAAAGACTACCGTGGGATGACAGATGATCTCGGGGTCACCATGCTTGATCAGGTCCAGGAGGGAATCTGTCAGCTGACCATCTTCGCCCCTGAGCAAGGATGCGATGTAGTAGTTCGCGCGCCTCATGCCATTCTTCACGTTCTTGGAACGCCAAATGAGCCCATCAAACAAGGTCGGCAGGAGCGATGGTGCCGTGGTGCAAAGCAGGCTGATGATGTCAGAATGGCGGGTGAACAGCATCTCCATTCCGTAGTAATACCGCGCACGGTCTGCACGCATGGTCAATAAATCGTTGAGGATCTCTTTTGCAGACTCCAGTGCACCCTTCTCAATCGCCCAAATCAGCGGGACATCGATTCGGTGCCCACCTGAACCTTCAGCAAGATCACCTCGCGCTCTCCACGAGGATAGTTTGCCACAGCCAGCTTCATAGCCTTGGATGTGTTCCTGTTGATGGCGATGATTACTGGCGTGGAGCCTTCTGACAGGGTTCGGATGAAGATCCTGCCGATGAGATCCAACGTCCACCAGAGCCCATCGTGCATAGACTCATCTGGGCAGTTTTCCTTGATACCACCCATGAAGGCTGCGACAAAAGGCCGCACCAAGTCCTCCGGAACTCCGTGCCCGGCATGAAGAAGGCCCAAAGCGGACAGCGCGATGACTGCTTGGTGGGTCTTTGTGTAGATGTCCGACATGATGGTCAAGATCCTCCCCATGATGTACATCAAGCGCTTGTTGGCCGCCCGCAAGTAAAGCTGCGACTCTTCGCAGTTTGCGAAGAAGGAGTCGAACACCTTCAGCTTAAAGTTTGCAAGGGCCTCTTCATCGAGGCGAGCCAGAAAAGTCCTCAAGCACTGGTGGTTGTGGACAGGGAGCTTCTTGTTCTCTTCAACCTTCTTCTCCACAATGGTCCAGAACCAGGCCCAAGCATTCTCGTGGTCGTTGCTCCATACGGTCGGCAGAAGGGACCTGAGGCTTGCGAACATCACGGAACGGAATTCCTTGAGATTGACTTGATCGTATTTGGCCAACGTTAACATCAGCACATCGCAGTCTTCTTGAACCCGATCTATGTTGCCGATGTAGGGCACGAGGGACTCCATGGCATAGAGCATGTCAGCAAACCACATGCGGTCGCCGGTGCCCATCACAGCAGCATTGAACCGCGCCATTGCTGCAAAGGTCTTTGGAATGTTCAGGTTGGAGTTGTCCTGCCACGATCCATGACGGTCATCACCCTGCTCCTGTTCACCCTTCTCCACATCCTTCGCACCATCCCCGGCCATCTTTTCTTCTTCTTCCCCATCCTGCTTATGTTGCTCCTCTGAATCTTGCTGGGACACGGGCCCCTGTTGCTCTTGGGTGTCGTCCTC